CTTTGCTTCATCATCTAAGGGCAAAATTTTGTTTAGAAGTGGAAATCAAGTTTAGAGGAAAGAAATCGAGCCATACACAAGGAAAATTCAGCATATAAATACTCAACTTTTATCATCTAAGGAGATAGACTTATTTCAAAAAGGAAATCAAGCTTAGAGAGGGAAAATCGAAACATACAAAGGTATAAGATCAATATGCAAAACATTCAATTACCAACATTCCAAGAGATAATTTGTTTTAAAATTGAATTCAAGTTCATAAGGAAGGAATTGAGACATGCAAGAGTAGAAAAATAACATGCAAAAGGAAATTTAAACATGCAAGAAAAGAATTTATAGCACCATGCAACATTGAAGAAAAAAAGCACAAACTTTTTAAAAATTTCAGCAAGGTACAACCAAGGGAAAGGCATTCAATAACAAGCAAGTGAGAATTTCCCCTTGCCTTTGAGTGTGGAACGTGAAATGAAGAAAAAAAGAGCTGGAACCCTTGATCTCCAAATGGAAGTTGGCTGGACCAAGAAGACTGCACCAAGAGAGTTTGAGTCCTTCCTCCAAATCAAGCTTTTGCTACATGGATTCTTGAAGAGAAAGAGAGATAAGAAAAATAAAATGAGGTGAGACAATGGTGTAGAGAGTTGAGACTTGATTTCTTGAAAGAGTTATGGGTGATTGATTTAAATATGTTATGGCTGAAAATTCTGAAGTTTTGCACAAAACAAAAAATCCACGAGTATTGAACTATGAAATTATGAAAGTATGAATCAAAGAATCTATGATGAGAATATGCTATGGTCCATGAAGGTGATGGATAATGAAAGTTCTAATCTATGTTATGAATTCTTAAAATTATTCTACTTTTGAAATTACTATGAACTCATGAAATCTATACTACATGTTAAGTCCCAGAATGATTTATAACTTTATTCTTACCGTGCTCTAGTCTCAATGTGACTAAATAAAATGAGAAAATTAAATTAATTTACAAAATTCTTCAATATATTATTTTAAAATATAGATATTTTCATGTGACAATAATATATACTTATTTTTTATTTGTTTAGATAACTAAACTAAATTTTCTTATTTTTTTATCATTTGATTAATAATATATATATATATATATATATATATATATATATGTTGTCATGATTTTTACATTTATTTTGTTTTATTATATCTATATTTATTGTTGTCCACAACTACATGCATGGCATCATTACTATATTTAGAAGATATTACGATGATTTATAATAAATTTTAGATATTTTTTAATGTAGTACATGCTTAACTCAATTACATTTTTTAATTTGAAAAATAATCACCTTTCTCCCAGTTTTAAGAAATTTTACAAAATATTACTTTTAAAACATTTTATTTGTTTGAATCTTGTCTTGTGATAATTTATCACATTATCTTAGTTATTTTTATTTAATTATTAATTTTTAAATTATTTCACATATTTTATAATTATAAAATAATATTTATTATTTTTTTATTATATCCTTATTCTACACGAAATTCTTAATTATTCTATATATTTATCATAAGACGGATAATTAATTATTATATATTTTAAAAATTAATAAAAAATCATAATTTTTTATAATTTATCTGCACATTAATTAATAAAATATTTCATTTTTAATATTAAGAGTTAACGAGTAAGATTAATAAATAAATAAATAATAATAATAATTAATTGAAGAAAGATGGACAAAATTAAAAATTAAATAATAAAAGTTTTTAATAACCTATGTCATTAATTAAAGAATTTTAAACTATATAAAACAACCTTAAGTTATGGATAAAAGAAAAATTGAGATTATATTTTTTGTCACAAAATTTATACCATACATTTTATTTAAAAAATTATAAAATAAATAAAAAATATTTTAATAATATAATTAAAAATTATAAAATAATGTATAATTTTCATAAATTTATAAAAATATAAATTAATTTTTATTACTTTATGGTATATTTTATGGTATATTCTTTGAAACTATTCAAGTATGTTCTTTTCCTTCTTACTTTTCAGCATAGGAGAAGAGGTCCAAAAACACTTTGCTACACGACTTAAGATTTTGATTGAAATGTGTGCCCACCGATGGAACCGTGATGACAACTCTTCGTCACTCAATTGATTATTCTAATATATTCTAACATATTACATTATTTTCTTTAATTGTTAAGAAATTGATTATTCAACAAAATTTTTATGCTGAAATCCCATCATAAGTAAAACCAATTTCTTAACACTTAAAAAATAATAATATAACGTATTAAGATTTCAGTAAGGATAGAATTGATTTTTTAAGATACTTGAAAATTTAGAGTATTTTAGAAATAAAATTTAAAGTAAGACAAATTAAGAATAAAAAATTAAATACTTGAATAACAAAAGCCAATAGATAATATTGATGAAAAATATAAAAACATCATCGTCCAAGTAAAATCAAATTAAATAATCCATACGGTGAGTGAAAGATTGACACCAAAGGAAGAAGATAAACAAGACTTACATAATGTCGCTTTCTCCAACCCTCGCAGGAGAATTGTGGTCCGACAATGATGCTCCTTTTCATTTGAAACCATATATACTGATAATGATTTGTTTTTTTTTTTATTGAAAGAAAAATAAAAATAAAAGAAGAAGAAATGTCCAGTTTATAAGAAAATTTGTTTTTTTTCCTGCTTTTCTTTTAATTTATTTATTTTTTATCTTCTCACTTTTAAAAAATTGCATTCATTATATTATTTTAGTTCCTAAAATAAGTTGTCAACTAATATCTTTCTTAGTACTTGCGTTTCTTGTTTGATTTCGTTCAGTCAACAATAGTTTTTGCTTTTATTCTTTAATTTTAATCTTCAATATTCCTTTTAAGGTTTGTATAGTAAGTAGATATTTTTTGGCTGCAACTTTATCTTTTTCCTTATTTTGACAAATCATTTGTTTCCTATACTTGTATACATGTCTCACTAATTCACTCTATCTATTCGGTTCTTAAATACTTCTTTCAACGTTATAACTTATTAGTAGATGAATTACTTTCTTCTATTTTTAGAAAAAGTATGCTAAGTTATCGTAGGGTAATTATGTATCACCAGCATCTAAAGTCATATAACTAGCAAATATTTTGCTATGAAATATGTGATCTATTTTTTTATTGTAATCATTGACTCAATATATTAAACTAAAAGTTACATTCCCTTTCGATTCCTTCTTCTTCTTCTTCTTTTCGTTATTTTTTAGTATTTCAAGATGTGGCTTATGCATGACTAAGAGTACTGTCTACGAATATAGTGTCTTCTCAGTCTTATTCAATAAAACAAGTGTTTGTTCTTTATACTAATTTCTTATAATTTATTTTATTCCTTGTTTATATTATTAGTACATCAATTAAAAAATCGGTACTTACATTTGCTTTACTTCAAATGTATGTGATATATATAATTAGATATTTTATCGACAGATATTCATGAAATATTTAAGCTTTACTCGAAAAGAAAAGTTACAAAAAAAACTTTTTAATTAAAAGAGAAATTTGACTACAGTCTTCTTAAATTAATAGGCCATAGAACTCTCTAACGAAGAGAACATAGATCTGATTCTCCACAACACCTGGTTTGGCTAGGCTGTATATTATGCAGTGCATTGCCTCTCTAAAGATGTGAACTATAATTGTCACACAGCATACTATTTTATGCACGGAGAGCATCTATGTCCTTTAAAGTGTCAAGCAATTTTCATGGCCTATATGAAGTATTGCCACACAACTTTCTATTTCGTAGCATATATATGTCCTTGAACGTGTGTTAGGCAATTTTTCATGGATTACACTACTCATTGATTAGTAAACGATCTATCAGTTGGAGAAAGAATCACATTCTATTGCAATCAATCAATTGGAAAAAGAATCCTTAATATTAAAATCAATTGTGATCCATAATGACCATAAGATCACATCAGGAACAATTTTTCAAATTAATGATTTTCAATTTTTTTAAATTTTTTGTTCTATATCTTTGAGGACGGGACACACATTAAATAAATGCTTTATATAATAATCACTTTCATGAAAAAGGAAAAATGCACATAAAAAAATTCAACAATTAACGAAGCAATAAGTATTTTTTTTTTTAAAATGAAAGAAAGGTTAATTTTATTAAATATTAAAACGTCGCTAAAATTATAAAAGTCAATAAAAAAATTGAAATTTAAGATGCGAAAATTTAAAAGTTCTTTCACCATAAAAAAAAACTCTAAATATATAATTAAGAAAAATAGAAAATATTCTAAAGAAATTGTGGGGGTGATACATGTTTATCCCAGTTTGAGCAAGTAATTAATTTAGTGTGTGTATAGATGATTAAGATTAAATGACATCATGTATTAAAGTTAATAAATGAAAATTTTAATAACTTTTTAAATAAAAGTAAATTTAATTTTATAATTTGAAATCAAGTTTATAAAATTTCACAAATTTTAAATGGCAAATGATATTGTATCGTTTAATTATATTTTATTTAAAATATCAGTAAAAAACACTGTCAAATTATATATTCACGAATATTTAAATTTTATATAAATAATTTATAATTTTAGTAATGTAAATTTAATATCTAATGTGATGCAATCCTAACCGCAACATAGATATCATAGGTTTTATCCGAGACGGTCCACAAACTACTCATACACCATAGCTTTTCATTCCATCGTATCTTATATTATCATTATTCTCTACTTAAAAGATATGAACGGCATCAAAGTAAAAGGTGTCAGAAGACACTTTTCCTTGTATTTCTAAATATCTGTGCATTTAGACGTTTATCTTATATATGTATGCATTTGTCTCTTTCGTGGGGCCCAATTGAGCATCAACTTATTTCCATGACTAAGTATATATAAGAATATAGTTTAACCAATGCCCTATAACCCATGCAACTTAGCTGAGCTTTAAACGCTCGTGTTGTTCTTAAGTTTTTTACCTTCAATCATGGACATGCACCAAGCCACACACCTTGTTCTTCTTTCAAGCCCAGGACTTGGCCATCTCATTCCAATGATCGAGCTCGGAAACCGCTTCGTCTCCCACCACAACTTCAAAGTCACAATCCTCGCAATCACTTCCCAAACTTCAAAAGCAGAATCCCAAGTCATTAACTCAACCACCACACCCTCCCTCTGCCACGTCATCGGGATTCCTTCCCCAGACATCACGGCCCTCGTCAATGAAAACGACGCCGTCGTCACTCGCTTGTGCGTCATGGTGCGCGAGGCCAAACCCGCCATCAAAACCGCTCTTTCCAAAATCACCCCTCGCCCCTCGGCACTCATTGTAGACATTTTCTGCACCGAGGCTATACCCATAGCAAAGGAACTCAACATTCTCAACTACGTCTACGTGGCTTCAAACGCTTGGTTTCTCGCGTTGCTCGTGTATTCTCCGGTGCTTGATGAGCAAGTTGAAGGACAGTACGTGGACCAGAAAGAACCGTTAAAGATACCGGGTTGCAAAGCGGTTCGACCGGAGGACGTGGTGGACCCCATGCTAGACCGGAACGACGCGCAGTATAAAGAGTATTTAGGAATGGGAAGCGGAACCCTTCAAAGCGACGGCGTTTTGGTTAACACGTGGGAGGAGTTTCAACGCGAACACCTTGAGGCAGTTAGGGATGGAGGTTTGTTATGTGAAGCCTTGAAGATGAAGATTCCAGTGTATGCTATTGGGCCTCTGGTGAGACAACCCGAGTCAGAAACGAGTCATTCCACTGAGTCGCTGGTGAAGTGGCTCGACGAACAACCGAGTGAGTCGGTGGTTTACGTGTCGTTTGGGAGCGGTGGAACGGTGTCATATGAGCAAATGACAGAGCTAGCTTGGGGGTTGGAGTTAAGCGAACAGAGATTTGTTTGGGTGGTGCGCGCGCCCATTGAAGGAGCTGCGGACGCGGCGTTTTTTACTACTGGGGGTAGCGAGGGGGATGAGGTGTCCAAGTATTTGCCAGAAGGGTTCGTATCGAGGACGAGCAAAGTGGGGATGGTGGTCCCACAGTGGGCCCCACAAATAACGATCTTGAAGCATGGCTCTGTTGGAGGTTTTGTATCGCACTGTGGGTGGGGTTCGACGCTTGAGAGTGTGACTAACGGCGTGCCGATGGTGGCGTGGCCTCTGTACGCGGAGCAGAGGATGAACGCAACGATATTGGCAGAGGATTTGGGCTTGGCGGTGAGGCCCAAAGTGTTGCCCACTAAAAAGGTGGTGGGTAGAGAAGAGATTGCATGCATGGTTAGAGAGGTTATAGAGGGTCCCATGAGGGAGAGAGTGAGAGAGGTGCAGCGCAGTGCAGTGGAAGCTTTGTCTAAGGGTGGTTCCTCCTTCACTGCAATGTCTCAATTGGCTAAAACAATTGAAGGCCTAAAAGAGGGATAAAGATAGATTCTATATCCATACACATTGAATCATCCTTTAGGGTACGTAAAAGCTTTATATTTTCACAATAAATTGACACGGCCTTTCCGCCTTGTCATTTCGTCAGTGTGAAAAATGTTGAAGATAGTTAATATGTTTTTTTTTAAAATAATTCTAATATTCTAAATTATTTTAATTTAGAATTTATTGATAAAATTTTAATTTATTTCAATAAGCTTTACACGTGTGTCTAAAGGGACACATACAAATTAAATGTTGCAAATTACTATATATAAAATTATTTAAATAAATACTTCTTGATAAAAGTCTTATAATTTAAAATTTTGAACGAATAGTTTTAAGCCCTTTTAAAAAAATTATAGAAAGATTGTTAAATAATATTTAATTAAGTATTGATTGAAAGATTGACACCAAATACAGAAGATAAACTTGAAATCAATGTCGTGCATCGGAAAAATTGGTGCGTTTTGTGAGCAGTGGTAGTGAGAGAGTGACTGAAAAAGAGTGGAGGGTCCCCTGTGGTTCGGAACAATGGTTGTGGTGTTTGTTACGTATCTGGTTCGATTTCGTTCTGACAACATGCTTGTTTTCATTCTTTACTTGTTAAAAAAATTATTTTAAAACATATTAAAATTATATTAACAATATCTAAACTAATTTTTATTTTTTAATCAATGTTATAAGGTATTAATTAACATTTATCCTTTATAATAATAATAATTTAAATTTGTTTGGATAAAGTTAAACTGAATATATAAAGCAAAACATATTTGAGTTTAAAATGAATTGGGAGTAGTTTTTGCTTTGGGCCATTTCAACTAATTCTGAGACAATTAAGAAGAGTTATTGGGTGTATATTGATAGTGTATTCTTTTTTTCCTTCAATTAATAGTAAAATAACAACAAGGGAGCTAAATATTGATGAATTTCCATTTTTATAATCCTATCATTATAATTCTTTTTTCATTTCCTTTTAAATTTTCTTTTATTCTTCAATCTAATAATAATAAAATAAAATACAATTTATAACATTAAATATCTATCTTTTCTATTTTCACGCACTACCTACTTGTGCTTATTTTACCTTGGATCCCAAGTAGGTGAATTTCTTTTAAAATTAAAATCATTACTTTAGAGTGTTTACCTTTTCTATACGGGTAACACTAATTTATATTTTATAAAAGTAAATCTTGTCAAATATTAAAAATTGTTACATTAAATATTATATGTTAGATTAATTTTTGCTAGTGTATTTTTTAGCTATAAAAAATGTAAATATATATATATATATCAATAAATATAATAAATAATATTATTATTGAGAAATTCATTTATTTTTGGAGTAAGCCTTGGTTAATTTAATTTATTTATCTTTTTATATACATCAAATTTTATTGATTCAACCATTGGTTTCAGAGTTCTCAATAAATAATTAAGTCTTCATATTTTTATAAATTTTAAAATATATTTGAAATTCCATCAAATAATTTCATTTTACTAAAAAAATGTAATTCTTAAAATATAAGCAAATTTTAGTTATAAAATTATATATATATATAAATTTTTAATTTGTATTAGAATTAAGTTGTGATTAATTAAATTCATTTAAATTTTTATAAATATTTAATTTATTTAAAATTTGATATATATATATATATAATTATGAAGTTAATATTATACTATTTAATAGTGAAATTAATTAATAAATATTGATATTTATAAAGAGTTATAAAGCAAATTAGCAAAATTTACTCTTTGAATAAGCAAAATTAGCAAGACTTACTCATATTTATAATGTTATATTAATAAATATTATACATCAATGCAATTAAGTATAAAACGATTTTGTTTCTTCTTGTTGTAAGAGGATAATGATAAGGTCTAACAAAATAAATCAAAGATATGTCAATAATTAGTCAATTATTTATCATTGTAGGAGTTGATTGATAATATAAAGCTGGTCTATTTCAGGCAAATAATTTTTTACTAAAAAACCAACACATAAATTACCTTTCGTAAAAATATTTCAGGAAAAAAAATTTAAAGTAGTATAACAACCTTATACTTGTGAAATAACACTATTTTCATTAACTAGATGAATAATTTCTATATAATATATCAAATAATGAGTTCATAATTTTCATTGTAAGTTAAAGTCAAGTTATTTAACATAGTAATAAGTTTTATAAAAATGTGTTCACAATTTCTAACATGGCCATAGAAGTTTCAAAGTCTGTTGTCATAAGAGTCTGCATTTAGCCTATCAAAGCCACCAATGTCAAGATCACCTTTCAATTTCATTAACATTTAGAGCCACCACATTAAAGGGAGAAGGAAACCACCAAACCAAATGAAGAGGTTGAGAATATAGAGAATGTGAACCGTGAAAAAAAGGAAAAATCATACAGTAAATGTTGTTCATAAAAAATGGTACCCATTAAGTTTGTGTTTTTGTGATGTTTGTTATTTAACATAATTTTTTTTTCCAATCACACTTATCACAATGTTGCTACGAATTAAATAATCATTCAAAATTAATTTTGAGTTTGTGACATTTGCTATACAACATTATTTGTAAAAATTAAAAAATCATCAAAATTGAGGAATCTTATAACTTTCTAAATTACTCTAAAATTAGCACAATCTATAATTTAATGTATAATATACTTCTCAAGAATATGAGGAGAATTTAAAAAATAGAACTATAATACTCCAAAAAGAAAAGAATTTGAAGCAATAGTATTTACTTAGGATTTTAAACAGCTTAAGAAAGCAATTAAACATTAACTAATTAGTGATAACTCTCTTTTAAAAATAAATATTATTCAAATATTGTTCTCAAATAATAGCATTCAACATATCTTTATCATGAAAATTTGTTTTACTATTCAACTAATTAACCTTGAAACTAGTACTATCTCACAATGTCTTTTAATGACTAATTGAGAGTATGTATATATACAAACATAAGGTACTAATTTAAAAGATTCTATGAATAAAGCCAATGAAAGAACCAAAAGTAAATATGCACATGAACAATTTAGTAAACTAATAAAGTCATTTTTAAGGTGCATAAGTTGCAACAAGTTCTAAAGGTAAAACATTTTCTCTCACTAAGTAAAAATGTATACTTTTTAATAAATAAAAATATTTTTAATAAAATAAAAACTAAAATATATGTAGCGCTTTTTTGAAATTAAGATTTAAATAAAAATTTATAATTCTTCAGTTTTTTTCTGTATTTTTTATTTTAAGATATATACTAATAAAATAAATCACAACAAATAGGAACAAAAAAGAAAGACGCATATTCGTGTGGATAAATTCAAAATCTGTCACATTCTAAGAGTATTTAGTATTGTTATTGGACCGATGTTGTGCTTAGTTGTACAATAATTTAAATAAAGCTGTTAAAAACAAAATATTATGAATAATAAATACTTTATTATGTTAACTAGATTAGATTAAAGAGATATATTTTTTTAATTTTTTAGAAAGAAATTACAAAAAATATAATAATAAAAAAAGTATGTTATTAATGCGATGCAATCGCATTTAATTATAAATATTAAATTTAAATTAAAAGTAATTAATATCATAATATTTTAAAATTTAGTTTATTTAAAAGTAAAATAAAATTGAATATAAATAAATGGCATTTAAAGAATCAAATAATTAATTGCAAGTTTAACATTTTATTTTCTTTCACAGGACCATGTCCAATTGTCCACCCTAAAAATCAAGAAATTAAATAGGTTTCCTTAAACAGCTATATTATATCCTATGATTACGCCAAGTGTATGGCATTCAAAGTTAGAACAAAATCAACAGCAATAATCTTCCCCACGTTACACTCTTGCAATTGACACACTTTGTTTGCATATATCACCTCATCGTAATAAAGAGTAAATTCTTTCCCTTTATATTTCAATCCTTTCATCATCGTTGTTGCTCCTTCTCAGTTCCCATTACCTCTCCACCACCTAATTTCCTCTCAAACTTCGTGCATCACACCACTCTTCTACACTATATATATAAACACACCCACATCACAATCCACCCCATCTGTTAGATACCATTTTCCTAATGGAGTTTCAAACCCCTCTTTGCCTTTTCTTGTTTCTCTTCACTCTTCTTCCAAGCTCCCAAGCCTACCAATTTACTGTTGGGGGAAGCCAAGGATGGGTTCCAAACCCTTCCCAGAGTTACAATCAATGGGCTGGAAATAACAGGTTCCAAATCAATGACACAATAGGTAATTAGATATACACAACACAAGTACCCACATACCCACAAAATGTTTTTTTGTTTTATTATTTGTGCATATATGATATACCCACTTTGTTTTATAGTGTCAATTAAAAATGAAATTTTTATTGTGTATTAATGGTTTCTAATTGAGGGGTGTATGTGTTTAATTTAATGGTAGTTTTCAAGTACAAGAAGGGATCAGACTCGGTTTTGGAAGTGAAGAAAGATGATTATGACAATTGCAATAACACAAAGCCAGTTAAGAAATTTGAAGACGGAGACACAGTGTTCAAGTTTGATCGATCAGGACCATTCTACTTCATTAGTGGAAAAGATGGAAACTGTGGAAAGGGTCAAAAATTGATCGTTGTTGTGTTGTCCCCAAGAACACCACCATCACAGTCACCACCACCAAAACCTTCACCTTCCCCGTCTCCAAATCCAAACCCACCACCATCGTCCCCACCAACCTCACCATCTCCGGCGGGTCAACCTCCGACTTCATCTCCCTCTCCGACACCTACCGTCCAACCTCCGGCGACGTCTCCGGCACCGACTGGAAAATCACCTTCGCCATCTCCATCAGCCACATCGCCAACTCCGTCTCCGACGGCCTCCACGCCTGGGCCGTCTCCGGCAACTACATCACCCTCTCCGTCTCCGATTATCTCCCCGCCAGCTCCGTCGCCGACTACATCACCGTCTCCCTCAAGCTCCCCGCCGGCTCCGTCTCCCACAAGCTCCCCGCCAGCTCCGTCTCCGCCTACACCGTCACCTTCTTCTCCGACGGGACCAACTCCGTCGCCAGCGTCTAATTCAACGGCGCCGCCACCGGGAAGCGGTGGTTCATCATCTGTGGCTCCTTCAAGCTTTTGGGTGTATTTGCTAACTATGGGTGTTGGTGTTGCGCTGTTGCGTTATTGAATCATTCCTTGTGAAATTGAAACGGTAGACATTAATGGCTGTTGAGTGTTATTATATTAGGACATGTGTAGGGGTAATTGCTTTTGGGTTTTATTGATCATTGTTGTTTTCACTTTGAATTTCGATATGATTTATTTGCATGATTTTGTGATTAATAAGCTTTTTCCTTTTCACCCTCGATATGATGATTTATTCATTTTGGTTTTAATTTGATACCATTGTTATTATGCCACTGTATTTAGCAATCTAAATAGATTAGACTCTGCATAAATAGTTTTAAACTCTTTAATAGTTTTGAGGTTTGTGTTTGGCTAATATTTTTTTATTTTTAGTATTATTAATTACTTTAAATTTAAATTTTTTTAGTTTCCTTTAACATTTAAGACTCGATATTTGAAATGAAATAAATGCAGTTTCATGCATTAATTTTTACAAAACCTTTAATTTGTTATTTTTTTTACTCAAATTGTCATAAATAGACTTAATTGAATTATTTTAATCATAAATTATTAATTGAAATATCAAAATTTACCAAAATAAAAAATTTATTTCTAATTTTAAGTCCTAATTTCATATTTAATATAAGATTTTAATTTTATCAAATTTCTTACATGTAAATATTAGGTAAAAAAATTAACAGAATCAAAATTTAAAAATATTAAAAAATAATTTAATATTTTAAATTATAGAAATATATTTTAATTAATTAACTTACCTTTTATCAAATATTTGAATTTATTATTTCATTAATTTTTTATATTTAGTTAAAATAATAATAAATTAGAAAAGAGAAAAAAAGACATAATAAACATTTAAAAATTAAAATAAATCTTTAATTCTTTTCCATGTAATTTTGTGACATAGAAAAAGACTTAGAAATTTTAAAATACAGAAGTCAAATTCTCTTGAGATTTGACTTTCCGTAATAATGATTTAGAAAAATCAATTAAAAAAATTGTCAAAACATGGATCCATTATCAATACATATAGATAAACATTTATTTTACAAAAGTTACTGAAACAAGCCAACTCATTTACTCAAGTTGATCCATCACAAATTAATTTAAGAGTGAGCTAATTCATCATCTTTTTTATGAATTAATAAAATATTAACTTGATTTAACCAAAAAAAAAATTGAAAAAGTTATAAAAATCCAAAAAAACAATATCGTACAAGTAAAAATTTATACAGATGACCTAATGAATAATATCTACTAAGTGAACTTTTATATTTACTTTTTTTATAAATTAAAAAAATTATTTTATTTTAACATTTATCAGATAATTATAATAATGAAATAATTTAAATATAAAAAAACAGATTAACTCAATTAAGTGAATCAGATAAAAAGAAAAAACTTAAATAACATATGGGTCATTTTCTAACAACTTCACACACTAAAACCCACTATATATATTGATTTGGCTCACTAGTTCAAATAATGCATTTTAATAACTCTAACCACCATAGATAAACACTACAATTTGTTTTTATAATATAATCCTTTTACAAATTTTATTTACAAACTACTCATTTTAACTTATGATAAAAGTAATAAAATAATTTTGTATTCATTAAAAAATATTGGATATTATAAAATAGAAGTATGATTAAGAAGGAACATGAACAAAATGTGTGTTTGTTAGGTCTGACCGTTTGATTATTATCTCATAATAAGAGAAAAGTGAAAAGTAATGTCATCTCATCCTTTTTTATGAAGGTTTGTGGTAGGGACGATTAAAGTGTGATCTCTAACTATTATATATCCTTCTAAGAAATTAGATAACATCAATGGTTTTTAGCTACTTTTTAAATAATGAATACTATCGAATTGGTTTGAATCAATTTATTAATAAATTGTATACAAATGAAAACTATTGTGTGTGTGTGTGTGTGTGTGTGTGTGTGTGTGTGTTGAGAGGTAACAATGCATTACAGGAGACTTGACGATGAATAGGTACCATGTTTTATGCCACTGGACCATCCAAAAAGCATGCCATTTTGGAGAGTAAATGTGTTTATGGCACTTACCGTTCATAAGATATACAATTTATGGAAGTTGCTTTTACAGTGTGGGGAAAAGTTGGGACCTTACCAACCAGCTGAAAGCATATATACTAAGTGTTAAGCATATGATAATGGCCCCCTATCAGATTATGACCATTCAAATAACCAATCTCATCAATTTCCCAGTAAAGTTGTGATCGAGTTGGTTCACCACATATACTTCACTGTGTTGGCATAGTGACCCCACTCATCATTTACAAATTTGTTCTTTTCTTTTCAAAGATATTCGATGCAAGTATATTTTTTAAGTTTAGATCATACAAAATTACTAAAAAAATTAATGTTTATTGATTATTGTAGGTTCTTAAATAATTCATATTAAAAATATTTAATAATTTTCAGTTATAATTTAACATTGTGACTTTCATCTAATTTATTAATCATAAATGAGAGTTGAAAGAAAGGGTATATTAATATTTTACTCTAAAAGGAGTTAAATGTGTGTGGCGTTCATTCCTCCAATGTAAATAGTCGTCGTTGACCCTAAAAGCCTAAACCACGAAAACTCATTAGGTGCGTTGTTACTATCATTACAAGTAGATTAAATGCAGCATGCTTCTTTTTTATTTTTTATGCGCAAACAACAATCGACAATTTCAGACAAAATTTGACCTTTTCATACTATTTTCTAAATAAAAGAGAAGTCTGAAGTATTGTTTAATCAAAAGTTCTGTTGCATTTAAAAATATCTTATATATAAATGAATCATCTGTGGCTTTCTGAGAATTTTCTCATATTATGAACGGAGGAAGAAAGAGTAATGAATGATATTAATCAAAGTCTTCCAACTAATAAGCAATTGGCATTTTGCAGTTGACGTGTAGGTCAACTTAATTAGCAGAGAGGACTAGTTGCTTTCCTATAAAATTTCCGCGTAATCTCTACGCCAGGAAATTTCTAAATTCATATTTAATAATTTTAAAGGAGATACTGGATATATAATTTTTTATAATATAAAATTAAAATTCAAGATAAATTAAAATTATACTAAAACTCTAAAAGCATTATCTTGATATCTAACAAAATAAATATAAAGGGATGATCAAGTTTTTCTGAAATATAAGTCTTTGGAGTTAATCTCAAGTCATTTTAGAGAGTGATCATGATCAAAATAAAGTGTTTCATGTACACTTCAACGTTCAATTCAAAGTTGTAAACCTTTCCTATCCAATAAATAAACAACATTAATTTAAACTCGTTTCGTTCATATATAAAACATTGTTATTAACAATCTATATATATATAAGTGAATGGTGAATCATTAAACAAATGGCCTCTTCTCAAGCACGCAGCTTCAATTAAGTTGATAAGGATATGCTTCTAACTTCCAATCGTGTAGGGGTATTAAAGAAGGACACTCAATAAAAATATGTTAAACTTACTCATGTTGGTTTTAATTAGTCTCGGCTTATGAAATATAAAAGGTTTAATTAAAATAGAGAAAAAATATGATTAGGTGCCTTTGACAATCATGCAGGTGTTCTCATGTTGGGTTTCTATTGTGAACTCTCTACCCTTGCTAGCCAACCCTTCTTCCTTCACTAATTTTAAAATATTGCTAAACTTATGCTTAATTTTATTTTGTTTAATTGTGAAATGATTTCAATTAATTGAATGACAATTTTTTAATTTCCTTCGCTCTTAACCCACCATTCTAAGAAATACTAATTTTATTTAACAACTGAATTATCAAACAAAATTTTCGGAGATGTCACAATCTACAATTGCAAACCATAAAGTCACATGAAGTACTCATGAACCTAAGAACACATCATCATAAGCCATTAAATCGCTTTCCCTCGTTCCCTTGAATTGTAGGCGATTCTTGTATTTTGAATTTGCATTTATGTTACAGTTTTCATATAGTGTTTATTTTTTCGCATGGGTTAGATATATAAATTTTCTTTGTTAAAAGTAATATATTTTGCTACGTTTAAAATAGCAAGATGTTTAGTGATAATAACGAGAGATTAATAAGTTCAAGCGTGCAGAATAAAAATGTCTCCCAATAATATTATTTTAATATATATTAATCTTAAGATCAAACCTAAAACAATAAGTTAATCATATAAAAGAAATTAAAATGTGAATTTCTTTTACACAAATCATCGTATGTTAATAATGTCAATCTCTTCTTAAAAAATGTCAATGTCATTCTTAATTGGTACGTCAAATATAACTTCGGTTAAGGTGACACCCGTGATCTATTTTAAAACGAGACAACCTATTAATTTGTTGTTTTTCTTTTCGAAAAAAAAAATGCTTAGTCGAACATATTTATTGATTGATAAAATAAGATGAAATTAATGATTTAATGTTGTGTGTTTTGAGTACCATGTGACTTGGGTTTTTTTTCTTTTGTATGCTTTATCCAAATAATTTTACACCAAAGAAAGTATTATTAATACTATAAATTCAAAATTTTGAAATCACTTGTGATTAGTTCTCACAATCATTGCCGCGTATTTAAATTAAAAAATATAAAAAATTGCACTTTTTTATTCTTTATTTTTAATATATTTTATTATTTATTATTTTTTAAAAATAAAATTTCAAAAGAAAAAGAACTTTTACATCTGTTTATTTAAATTTTGTAAAGGTGACAAATGTTGGCTTCACACTGGTTTGCCAATCACTTCAAAGTTAATTATGTGTTAGTGACCTTTTTTGGGTTCACAGACATTTCTATCTACAATGTTCCTCCATCAACCCTAACAATCGCATCTGGTCCAATGCCAATAGATTTCTTATTTCTGGGGTAAATTGTTCACCACTCGGCATTGAATTGATGGTCAATGCTTTTGACTAATTGAATCACTGTTTGCTATCATTTTCATTGATTTATTTTTTCTTTTGAATTATTGACTCTTTGTATATTGTATCGTATTCATCACTTCATACGTGATGTGAATAATTTCATAACTGACGTTGAAACCTGAAATATTTGGTTTTGCATACCAACTATCAAAATCTATGCTCTCTTAAGTACTCTTAAGTTTTCTCATACACGTGTTCTCATAAATTTATAATGTAAGGTCATTTATTTGCGTTTCAAAGTTAAGAAGCTTAGAACTAGATTTTACAACGTTGTTTAATTTCGTGATCACATATGTATTTGAAATGTACACCAAGGCAAACCAAGAAACTGACCATTTCAACGTTCCATGATCCATGGTGAAAACATTGAATATGAGTTCCTCCTTTTCATTCAAAAGCAAATGGTACAACTTAACACTCATTTCTCATCATTAAAAACAACACATTGGGTTGATTCGCATTCAAATTTTAGCAACACAGTAAATGCAAATAACTTATATAGGATAATTTTTTTTTTCAATATATACTATTGAATATTGGGTTAAATTTATGTAAGGAATGAGACCTACTAAAAGCAAACTACATGTACATATTATATGGTAATTTTTATATGACTGTTACCCGATGATAAATAGTTAGCATATACTAACATTTATTTGACAATACAAATACAGGATAATCAAATGATGCTTGATGATTGACTTTGTGTCGTACAACCCATGCCTAGAGCAATGGGCCGAGATGTTTGGGGCAAGGATTTGTAAGAATATATCTATCCAGGCCCGGAAAATTGAGCCCAGAACAAGCAGAAGCTGCTTTTTATTTTTTGTCTAATTTTGAAGGATGATAAAAAAAATTACAAAATCCAACAGCAGGCATGAGAACGGATTATACATACAGAATGAGGACTATGTTTATAAAAAAAATTACCGTTAAAATTAGAAAATCTCTTCAGCAATTAAATTGGTATGACGAATGGTTAAATGCAGAATTACCGTTCAATTAATGAAGTTTACATGATTAACCAATTAAATAACCTTTTCGTCCAAAATTGTTTGTTGTAATTAACTTTGGAGCTACCTTCACTCCCCATACATCCCATCATTCTACCATAAATAAATCATGAAGATACATGTATCATGTTATAATCTCTGAATGGTGTGTAATGTCTAATGCCCCCTCATGCCATTGATTGACCGTGTGTATCACTATCAACTGGTTCAATTAGAGTCATTAAAAACCTTGAGATGCAAAGAAGTGGTTGGGAAGAAGATCTTCAGAAGAGAAGAGCCTTTAAAGTATCTAAGAAATTGAATAGCATCATAAAGAAGAGCAGAGAATGCAGCCGTGGATTCACATAGATTGTTGCAAGACACATTCACTTGTCTCATATATTGCGAGTTGTTCCAAAACCATTATGGTTTGGAGTCATGAAGCCCACATCAGAAATATCCAAATCCAATAGAAAACTGAGTCTTGAGCCAATTGGAAAAACTCGTAACCAACTTGCAAGGTGCTAGTCTCAGGCATGAGTTGTATGAAAAATCCAACCTTTTTAATTAGGAGAAATTAGTGAGATGCGACTCAGTGACGTCACTTTCCAAAGAATTCCCTGCCATGTTTAGTTCCACCAACTCATATAGCAATCCAATGCGTTTAGGTGGCATGTCTGTAATCCGGTTACCAGATAAATCCAATATGTATGAACTGTGTGTCTATTGCACCATGAAGAGTTTTGAATGAAGCTTGAGATTTCTCCACTCAAATTGTCATGTGAGATGCCTAATGCCTGCAACGCACACATGTTGCCAAAGCAATATGGAGAACATCAAGAGAGTTCATTATTTTCACCAAATCCATCTACAAGATGAAGTGTACGAAGATTGGTGGTGCAGTTAGAAAGCCAATGAAATACAACCAATGATTTCAACCGATCAGCGGTGAGATCAAGGGTGACACGAAAACTTCCATCCAAAAGATCACTGCAATTTCTTAGATACAACTCTTTTAATTTGGAGCTGAAGTTGAAGTTACTTTATTAATGAAGTCAAATTATTAATGAAATGTTGATGATGTCAGCATATCAGAAGAAATCCAGGATTGTAAGAGAAGTGGAAAAGTTGGAATGAATGAAACAAAGATGAAACATTATTATCTCAAAGACCACAATCAAAATAGTCTCAAATCTCGAGCATACAAGAGCAAATACGAAAGAAGTTGAAGAAAGACAAGAAAATGATGAAGAGGAAGAGTAGATGATATGATAGATAAATTCATGGGAAGGAAAGCATGAACACATGGTTTTACTGTTTTATGTTGTGTTTTAGTTATTGTTATGGTTTATGTTATGATTTTACTGTTTTATATTCAGTACTTTTCTTAGTTCGTTTAAATTAGTGATTTAATTTAGATTTAACCGATTAATCTTAGATTTCATTTCTTTTTGGTATCTTGGGCTTTAATTCATTTTGGTGTTAAGTAGAAACTACTCTTTTTTTTTAGTTTATTAAAAATTTCTCTTAATAATTTTTAAAACGAGGTTAACTCAATAGTACAGTGAGTTGTTCAACTAATACTAAGGTAGTTAGTATACTGTGAACAAAAGAAAGAATCTATTTTTTTGGAATTGTACTGAATTTTTTTTATATTAACTATTTAATTATTCTTTAATTAATTAGCGATTTACAATTTATGATTTAATTTTTCTTTCATATGTAAAATTCTTTAATTTAACTAAGTTAGTTAGAGTTAAAATTTAACTTTAAAAAGATTAGTAAATTAATATATGTCAAATTCACTCCTGGAAACATAATACACTAATTTTACAAATAAATCAATGCATATACAATAAATAAATAATAATATATAAAACGATAATTTTTTTAAAGAAATAAAATGTCATATAATAATTTAATTGAAGAAATTTAATATTATATATAGATATATTGTATATAAATTAAATTTCGTGAAAGAAAATAAAACTAATAAACACCGTGGGAATTCCTTCTCTTAGAGATCGGCGACATTACTCACAGTACTCTCTTTGTGTGTTTAGAATCCATGGCTGCTTCTACGGAAAGCGTGGCATCACAGGCATACCTTGAAGGAAAAGCAGTGAAGGAAACACGAACTTTGATATCAGAACTGTGTCGCCACTTCTACAACCTTGGATGGGTCTCAGGCACTGGTGGCAGCATCACCATCAAAGTTCATGATCACTCTATTCCTAAATCTCACCAACTAATACTCATGTCCCCTTCAGGTTCATTCCTCTCTCACCCTCTTCTCAATATTTCTCCTTTCCACCATTTTCTTCTATGTATGCCCATATGCCTATGGTAACTCACCTTTGATTGTTCTCGTCACTTTGGTGGGTTTGGTTAATTTAGTTATTGGTCATGAGATGGACTGAGATGCTATATATTATATTGATCATACTTTATTTTGTTCTTCCTACTCCTCTCACCTCTTTAGTTTTCACCTTTTTATTTTTATTTCTTTATTTGGCTTCTGTGTCTCTATGCTAATTCACCTTTTTTGCTCATTTCAATAAACTTCGGGTGCGTTTGAAATAGTGTGTGCAGAGCTCTTTTCGGCTTATGTTAATTAGTTTTATGGTCAAATTTGTGATATAAACTCGTTATGAAGTAAGAGTTGGTTGAATAAATGTTTAATTAAACTGTTACCCAAATGCATCATTACTATACCTTATCAAAATAAACTCTTTTTAACTTATTCTAGTAAATTTTAGGTCTTGTTTGAAAGAGCTTATGGAAATAGCTTATGACTCTCAAACTCTTTTCAATTTATTTTAATAAGTTGCTCAATATACCTTATGAGAATAAGCTCTTTTCAGCTTATTCCAACAGGTTTTAAGGTTAAATATATAAGTCTTCGTGTAAAAAGAGCTTATTGAATAAGCGCTTAATTAAGCTGTGTTTCTGTGCATACCCTTATAATCAAATTCATGCCATAGGTTCTCATGTGAAAAGAGCTTGTTGAATAATTACTTAACTAAGCGACTTACCCAAGTGCACCCTTATTGTTATTTTAGTTTTTGGTTACATTCTTATTCTTGTCACTTTGGTGGGTTTAGTTATTGACAATAACTAAAGTGAGTATTGATCATAGCTGCATTTTGTGTCTTTCTTTGGTGCAGGTGTTCAGAAGGAAAGAATGGAACCAGAGGACATGTATGTGTTATCCCACACTGGATCAGTCTTGTCTGCGCCATCTCCCAAGCCTTACCCACATAAACCTCCCAAGTGTTCTGATTGTGGTCCACTTTTCATGAAGGTAAGGTTAGTTGATGCTCTACTGAATGATTACTGTAAAGTTTAATATGTTCATTCTTCTTTATTTAAGATTTCAAGGTATTCATGACATGATACTGCCCAATATCGATTTAATGTATGTACAATTTAAATTGTAGTCGTATGTAATGCTATCAGAATTTTTTTTTATGTCACCACTATTTTGAAATTCAGGTGATGCTGTTGAACAAAGTATTGTAGTTGGATGGGGTTCTAGATTTTTGTTATTTATGACTAAATGAATTCATTATGTTGATAAAAGTTTTGATGTTCTAACCTCTCTGTATGTTTGCATTTCCAAAAGAATATATTTTTATTTTCATTGATTTATTTGTTAATGAGTCTGATAATGAAATTTTCATTGGATAGGTTGTCTTTTATCAACTCCACAGTAGGCTGACCTTGGAAGTTGCATGTTTTGTAAATTTTTAAAATATTTTCTCGCATAGGTTGGAAATTAATTTGCATTTCCCTTTTCTACCTTTCCAGGCATATGAAATGCGTGATGCTGGGGCAGTTATCCACAGTCATGGGATAGAATCCTGTCTTGTAACAATGCTCAATTCTTTATCAAATGAATTTCGTGTAAGTATTTGTAGGGGGATGCTTTTCTGTAAACATGTGGTGTTTCAAGGTCAGAGATCTGAATTCAAAATTATGATACATAATTGTATGTAACCTTTTGATTCTGAAATATGGTATGAAACTGGTAATAAAATGTGAATCTAAATCATGTAACATCATCTCATTGCTTGGGCATAAGAATTTGTGGAGTGTTCGTTGCTCAATTCTTGGTGTGCACATGGGAATTGGAAATGGCACCTGGCAAACCTTATTCCCTTGCATCTTTGTTTTGTCTTTTTTATTCTTTACAATTTTCCCTCTCCCTTTTGACCAAGGTTAGGACTGTGGTTTTCATATATTGTTATTAGATAGTACTCTCACAATGCCAAACATAATTTTGAAGTAGTTGTATACTGTGGTTCTGTTTCTTGAATGTGTTTTTAAGTAGTTAGTTACTCCTCTTGTTATTTTGATTTAATTCTGGTTGTCTTCACATATTGCAGATCACTCACATGGAAATGATAAAAGGAATCAAAGGGCATGGTTATTATGATGAACTTGTGGTCCCCATAATAGAGAACACAGCCTATGAATATGAACTCACAGAATCTCTAGCTAAAGCTGTATGTTTTGTTTTGAAAATTGTTCCAACTTTCTGATTGTATGAATTTACAAAATTGTTGATATCAAATTATTTCGATTTTGTTAAAGCTATCTTGGTTTTTGGACAACACATCCATTTTCCCAGTGGATTCTGGACTCACAAATCCATTTCTTGTTTTCATTTGTGTGATAATTTTTTTCATCTGATGTTCTGATATTTTTCTTTCTCTCTCTCTCTCTTTTTTTTTTTTTTTCTTATCATTATGTGTGATATAATTAATCTTTTCTTCCAATTTGTAGATTGAAGCCTACCCTAAAACTACAGCAGTACTTGTACGCAACCATGGAATATATGTTTGGGGAGACTCATGGATCAGTGCTAAAACTCAGGTTTGTGTAATTTGTGTTTTCCATAGGAAGAGATTGGAATCACACACAAAATTATGTTTGTTTGAGCTTTCTGCATGGAAAATCCAGAACTTATAATACTCCTGACGAAAATGTTGATCTTTTTATGTCTTTGGGATGCTTGTTTTTACCTTATCACTATTCACTAATACTTGTAAATGGGTGGTTTTCCTCCAGGCTGAGTGTTATCATTATCTCTTTGATGCTGCTATCAAACTTTCCCAACTAGGATTGGACTGGTCTACTCCAGATCATGGTCCAATACAAAGAAGCATTAGGAGTCTAAAGTTTGCTGGAGAGTCAAACACATCAACTAAGACAAAGACGGCTAATGGTGAAATTGATCCATTTCCAGTGAGATAATATTCTCTATTTATTTAAATGGTCTTTTTAATGCATGTCCAAGTGCATACAATAAGCAATCAATAAATAGTGAATATTTATTGAAAAGTGTAGTATTTAATGTTATCAATGCATTAGATTTTGTGATTTCTAATAAAAACTTACTATATGTAGGTTTTTATTGTGCCCTTGGGTATACATTAGAAAAACTGTTATTTAAAACTTTAGACCTCTAAACTTTTCAATGATATTATACTATTATTCCATTAATTCGTGAACAAGATCAAATGCTTGGTTGACTTGTAATTCGGATTATAAGTTCCTTAGATGTTTGACATATACTGCACTTGTCTTTCCAGGTAGTTTCAAATTCAATAGTTGATTACTCTCTCCCTTGTTTTGCAGCATTGCATTGTTCTTGACATTGAAGGAACTACTACTCCCATATCATTTGTTACTGAGGTTCTCTTCCCATATGCACGTCAAAATGTTGGGAGGCATCTATCTATGACATATGATACTCCTGAGACCCAAGCTGATCTTAAGTTGCTTCGCTCACAAGTAAGATTGTAGTAGAGTTGTATGATTATGCTATTTTTTCATTATGGAATGGGAACCTGTTGTGGGTTAGACTATGAGCTGTAAAACAGTATTCTAGATGGTTATGCCATATGACATTGACCAATACGTTGGGATATTAACGGATTGTGGTTTTCAACTGCTGTCCCTTTGTTCTCTGCCCATTATTATATAGAAAAACTCACTTTGAATTTGTAGTTTGGCATGTTTATTTTATTTTATTTTTCTTCAGAGGGTTTTATATTTTCTATTTTTGTACTTGTTAGTTAGTTACTTACATGCAAAGATTTTGGACCACTTGAATTCCTTGCACCATGACCATAGGTTCAAAGTGATCTTGAACAAGGGGTTGCAGGTGCTGTGCCTATCCCCCTTGATGATGCTGGGAAAGAACAAGTCATTGCCGCATTAGTAACTAATGTAGAAGCTATGATTAAAGCAGATAGAAAGATCACTGCCTTGAAAGAGTTGCAGGTAATTAAACATGATTTAGCAAAACTCTGCTCTTTCTTGAATTTTAATTTGAAAGATTTAGCTATGCAGGGTCACATATGGCAAACTGGTTATGAGAATAATGAATTGAAGGGAATAGTTTTTGATGATGTACCAGAAGCTCTGGAAAAGTGGCATGCCTTGGGCATAAAGGTTGCAATTTCTTTTAATAGCTCTGTACTTCTTTCTGTTCCAAATTGATAATTATCTTCCTTTTCTGTTCCTTGTTATTATATTTCCATTTCTGTCTCATTTAACTGCAAACACTTTACAGCTAACCTTGATTGAAGTTTGTTGAGGGTAAGACATTTTTTTTTCCTATCTGATGGCTAGAACAAATACCAATCACATTTTGGATGCTTGTTTTTGATGTCTGGAAGACATTTTTATTTCATTTTAATTTCTATTTCTAATCTGTGCAACAGGTATACATATATTCCAGTGGTAGCAGGTTGGCACAAAGACTAATATTTGGACATACAATCCATGGGGACCTAAGAAAATATTTATCTGGCTTTTTTGACACCACAGTGGGGTAACGTTTCACTTTATCTCAATGTGCTTTTTGACAATGCCTGTCTAAAGTGAACTATTTCATGCAAAACTTCTTTTGCAGTAACAAAAGAGAGACACACAGTTATGCTGAAATTTCTGCATCACTAGGTGTTGATAAGCCATCAGATCTATTGTTTGTAACTGATGTTTATCAAGAAGCTACAGCTGCTAAGGCAGCAGGTATGTGCCTTACAACCTGATATATTGAAAATACTAGGTACTGATATTATAGCAGCTTTTGGAGCAATTTAATTTCCTACACAAAATTTTCCTAATCATCTGTCCTTGGTACTTCCCATTTGGCATTGTTTGAGTCAATTATTTTTCCCTAAAACCAACACTAAACTTTATTTTAAGTGTAATACAATGGTGAACTATAGTCAATGTTTCGTGCAGAATTGTTAGATTTCTTTTTTGCTTTTATGTCTGAATAATATTTTTCTTTTCTATAGGCAAATAATTGTGTAAAAATCTTCAATTTAAAAAGTGAGAATGCTTTTCTGTACAAATATGAACTTTTAGTGCTTATTTCGTTAAATACGATTGGCCAAAGGGTTTTTATCCCACATCATTAACACAGAATACTCGCCATGATTGGTTACTGTTGAATTCGTGAAAATTCCTACTGAAACCATCTGTACTTAATAGCACTACTGTTTAAAAAGTGAACATTTCTGTTCAAATGTGAATAATTGAGAGCAATAGGCAAGACAGTATCTTTCATCCCGATTGAGGAAACATGAAAAGTATGAACTTGATATCGTTTTTGGTTCAGTAAATGCAATACAGCCTTTTGATGTATTTGTACAAACAAGTCATACTTGTGCTATTTATTCTCTCAATTGGTTTGTATGAAGAGTATAAGGAGAACTTCTCCAAGCTTTAATATATTAGTTATATTTGGTATGCACATTGACAATTTTCCATGTTTCAGGCTTGGAGGTGATAATTTCTGTTCGACCTGGAAATGCGCCTCTCCCTGGAAATCATGGTTTCAAGACAATCAGTTCCTTCTGTGAGATATAAGAGTAGATGCAGTCATCTGAGACTATGTTAAGTGAGGCATGGTAGCTATGGATTCCACCTCAGAAAGTGTGATATATTGCTGGATCTGATCCAAGTTGCATTGTTACTTGCCTTGTTTTTATAACTTGATAAAAATCTATTTAATTTAGATTTTCATTATTTTTGTTTAAGGGCATATTCAAGTTGGCGTTGCAGCTATCCAAATTTTCTCATTGCCTATATTTGTTGTCTTAAAGCAACTGTCTTGGAATTTAAATAAGTTTTTTGATGGACCATCTTGTTTTTAGTGTTTGTATCAACCAAAGAGATTCAGATTTGCTGAATTCAAAAGATAAAGATAACTGAGTAGGTCATGTGTCATAAATCTATGATCAATAGTTCAGCAAGAGAAATTTCTTGAATGGTAGACCCAGCAATTCATGTTGCTTTATTTTGTGACACTGAATTTTATGATTGGCACCAGACATGTCTGAACAGTTGAAACCACCCAATTATTGTAAAGAGGACAATGAAACTGATTTTTATGATGGGTACTGATATTGAAGACGCTGTTAATTAGTCTTCTTCTAAGGTTTAGGTTCGAAGTATATGATTCCTTTTCAGTCATAATATTAGGTGTGCTTTCTCAGTCTTACATCGAACCTTGAGAGATAAAGACATGTTGCTGCAATCATGTTCTAACTGTTTGCACTTATAAATTAGATTTTAATTGGAATGTTCTCATAATATAAGTTTTTTATAATAATGCCAGTTAAATTTATTTTATCATGTTAGTGGTTTTAAGACACGATAAGTTTATATAATTTGTAATATAAGATTTTATTTTATCATTTTAAGTCAATTTAACATTTGATAAAATTTTTACGTTTAAAATATTTTCAAATTATAAACAGATTCGGATTATGTATAAATAATTCTCTGACTATAGTTTCATTCTGTTTTAATTTAATTTTCTTTAACAATTATTTGTATTGTCATCAATACTTCTCAAATAAAAATTAATAATTAATATTATCATTAATACTTACCAAGTCAATTTTACTATATGGATTTAGATATAAATATTAAATATAGATAGATAACACAACCCTCAATTGTTATTATTATAGTGTTAGAATAAGTATACTCACTATTGTAAAATGAAGCAACATCCTGAATGCTATTTTTTCCTATGATGCACTAAAATGAAGGAAAAGTTGAAGAAATAAGCTAGTTTTGAAAATGAAAAATATAATTAAGAATTCTATAATAACAAGAGAAAAAAAAAAAAAAAACAACCAAATCACTTAAGAAAAAAATTTAAAAAACCGGACTTGCTCAAACAAATTAGAATTCTTCAAGCAAATAACAAAAATATACTTAAATGATTTATATGACATATTCATATTAACTATATTGTAGTGATGGTATTAGCATGGTTTTTAAATTGATGTATTTAAGTACATCATGCATGTCAAATTGAATTGTTAGTCCCTGAATCATTTAAAAAGTTTACAATTAAGTTTCTAAACTTATAAATTATTTTAAATTGAGTTCTGTTAAGTAAAGAGACCCAATTAAAAGTTTTTAGATGATTTAAGGACTAAGTTTCTAGTTCAGTTATTTAGTAAGTCTCATACTTATTTAAATTGCTATACTTAATAAAGCCTTAGCTAGGAATCTGACTGGGTTTTTAACTTCATAAAAACTTTTGAAGTATAGAAATCCATTTAAAATATTTACAATAATTTAAGGATTAACAAAATAAGTTAATCCAAATTTACTAGCGTCCAATGTTATATATTATCAGATTAGTTAATAATTTTAATACGTAATATAATTCTTGATATAATCAAATTTATTAAATTACATATAAACAAATCGTGGGATATAAGTTAGAAAAAAATTACATTAATACTATATAAAAATCGAAGTCCTACATATAGAAATAAAAGAATGCGGTCCCATTTCTTAGTTTTGGAGATTTGTGCAAAGCTGACAGACCCTAATAATAATAGGGGGCTAAAGTGCAATAAACTTACATATCAGGTTTAAATTATAAAAACCATAAGCATAATTTGGATGGAGCATCCAACAAATTTTGGAAGCATCATAGAACACTCCAAAAATGTGTTGTTGTGTAACATAATGGGAAGTGATTTTTTCTTAAACAGTATTGATAAGGTCCTTGAAACCTGTTTCCTTTGTGCTTTATCATGTGGTCTTAGTAGCTTGTTCCTTTTCTAGAGGACCTAATTAGCTGCCATATTTGTCAAAAAAGTGGATCAGAAACCCCGGAACTAAAAGATGTCCCTAGTTGAATAAAAATTGGGAGAAAATAATTCTTGACTATGTTTTGCACTAGCAGTTGGGTCCAACCTAAATGTACCTAAATAACAAAACAAAGTCTAAAAAGTAGAAGAAAAGAAAAAGGTAGTCATCACATATTCTCTGCACTTGTTACTTACATATGGTTTTTTTATTACCTTTGTTTTTTTTTCTCCAAGTATGATGATTATGTCAAAAGTCCCACTTCCCCTTTCTTCTTCTTTAGACTTCCCTCTAGTCAGTTTGTCAATGCTACTTGATTTCAATGCCTCCCACTACAATTTATAAAAATCTAAATCAACATAAGGAAAAATAAATAAGTCAAAGGAGTAAAACAGTAAATTGATACGGAACAGTGGAGGTTGGTTTAATTTTTGGTTATAAATTATAGTTTTAAACTAATATGTGACCTTAATATTCTGAAATCTGAATTCAGTGATTCTTGAATTGCTTTATAAGGGTACTTAGAGCATCAATATGGTACAACTCACATTTTTTTCTCTCTCTTTAAAATTAAAATAAAAAGTAATATAATAGACAACCCAAAAATAAAATTATAATATATAAAATTCGATTAATTTTATAAGAAACTCAGATTAATTTTTCTAAAACTAAGGAAGGTAATCCCCTTAAAGATGACCTTAGATTACCTGTTCCAAAAATCTTTGAACAGTCACAGATCACAACTATTAATGAAGCTCTTAATTTTTTGTTGAGCCATACATATATCTCGCTTTTGCTGCATTTTTTTTTTTTTTCAATATCTTTCTCCCTTTGTTGCAATTTGAATGAAACCTTAGTTATTCAAACTAGCCTCATACCTGTTTTTGGTTTCGTGTGCTTGTTTAATTTTTACGGATACCATCCATGTGAATTTTCCTTCAAATTGCTCTAAAGTCTATGCAAGACATGAAAATCTTGGCTTTATGTTTGCCTAGTGCTTAGTATGAGTCACCCACAGTACTGGTAACAGAGCACCCACTGCAGAAAAATTCTCACTACTGAAATAGCAGCATGGTTTCAGGACTACTAGTCAGAACAATTTGAGTGAACAGTACCTACATAGGCCCGGTGATGCAACTCCAACTATGGTACTGTCATTGTCTACAAAATATAATCCTTTTAAAAATAATGGTTCTACTATCAAGTACTCTAATTCATAGAATTAATATAAAATTTTCATATGATGAAATGTATTAAAACTTATGTTAAATATATATATATATATATATATATATATATATATATATTCTTTAATTAATGTTTTAAATAGTAGATAGCATTTGCCTAAAAATAAAACTAAAAAATAAGAAAAAAAAAAGATTTTACTTTACTACTTGATCTGAAAGGGAACTTGAGAACTAATACAGAAACATGGCCTTTTCTTCCAATAGGAGTCAGACAAAGAAAACCAAAAGCCAAAACACATGACTATGAGTGAGTTTGAGTTGCTTAGAAAACTACTGAGACTAAAAACTGCATAACCAAGAAGACGGACCCCCCTCAACCTTCATTGAGTTGGACCCACCCACCTTTCTTTCGGGTACAGCCATCTTTGATGAGAGACATAGGATATGGTTAAGTCCTTAGTACAACACTGTTGTGCAGTAAAAATGTGTCCCAAGCACTCTTCCTCATTTGATTCCTAGACCTCCCTTTGCCTTCTTCTGTGTCACTTCATAACTTCTCTTCAGCGGTTGGTGTGAAATTGAATTGGGACACATGATCATAAATTGGGACACCCTCTCAGGGTTATGATCATTCCATTAGATTATGTGGTTTTTGTAACAGAAATTGGAACATGAAGAGAAAATTTACAGATTCAAATAAAGAGAGAAAAAAAAAACTCATCTAATTATGATATTGTCATAGTACTAGTACTACTCTAAGGAAGCAAAGTTTACAATTTGAGCATGCTATGTTCCTTTTGATTGAAAATCAAATATGAAAACCAATTAATCATTATCTAAATCATAGCCTGATGATGATGATACACAACAATTAATCTCTTTGGCTCTTCAAGAAGGTGACTCAGAAACTCTTGGTGAAGTCATAGGGAACAAAGGCAAGAGCTGAGGCTCAAACTCTCTTGGAGTTGACATAGGAGAAGGATGCAAGTAGAACCCTTTTTCAGCTATGGCTTTATCTTCCTCTGAAGAGCTTCCCAGTGAAGGTGAGGACTTGTCAAATGGATCATCATTCAATGGAGTGACAGGACTAAGAGTGAGGGAAGGGAAATCAAGCAAGCTGGGGGAGAGGATCTCTTGCTTGTGGGGTGAGAACCCTGAATTATTGTGCACGAAATTAGGCATCAAGGTGTTGATCATGAGGGTGTTTTTGAGGTTATTGTTCCTCCTTTCATAGAGCTTGAACCCTTGTTGTTTTTTTGGTGTTGTTTTCATTGGTGGGATGTTGAAGTTTCTAGATGATGATGATGATGTTGTTGTTGTTGTTGGTGGTGGTGGTGGTGGTTGTGGAATTGGATCTTGTTGTGTGTGTGGTTTTTTGGTTTCTGATGAGCCAGTGAGCATTTGAACTACTTGTTTGAAAGTGGATGTGTCAGCTTGAACAAAGGTGGTAGGGTAAGGGGTTGAGTCAGATCTGGTAATGGTTTTTGGAGTGAGGGGTGGTGTGGTGGGGATTTGGATGCCAATGTTATTGTTGTTGTTCATGCAGTTGTTGAGGTTGCTTCTTGGAGAGTTCATGGAAGATGGGTTTTCTGTGTCTTGGAGTCTTAAGCTGATTTCCATTGATGGGGGGTTTAGGGTGATTTGTGATTTGTTCCAGAACAAGGAAAAGAGGGAAAGGGTTGGGGTACTTTGGATCAAAATTGGAGAAGTTATGTATGGAAGAGTGAAAAACAAGGCTTGATGAAAGGAAGAAAGAGAGGATGCTTGCTTATTTTGCTTGTGTTTTGTTTTGGTTATGGTTGGAACTCTCTTCTTTCTTTATACTATTTTCCATTTTCTTTTGCTAATTTTATTCTCTGTCTCTTGAAAATTTAAATTAACTGTGCCCTTTTGGTGGGGCACTGAAGCTTGGAAGTGTTTTTGTGTGTGAGAGAGAGAGTGGCCCCAACGGTTTTGGGATTTATAAAGACACAAAGGGTAATGTTAGAATATAAGTCCTTTTGTTTACAGCTAGTCTGTATAATATCAATCATGTAAACTAAATTTTATAATTTATAGTTATTAAATTATTGATGGTATGGTAATTAGTCATTATTGTTATTTTTGTATTAATTAAGTTATTAAATATGCGTTTGGTTTGGTTTATTTTTAAAATAGTTATATTAAGTTTTAAAAAATAGAAAAGGATAAATATTTTACAAATAATCTTTCTCATACATATGTTAACAATTTTAACATATTACTTTGAACTGAGTCAAGAGGAAAGGTGTGGTTTCTTATAAAATATTGAACTAATGCTTGGATCATTGTTAGAAGAGGCGTTTATGTTTAGTATTATATTGTATAGTAAATAAGATTATCTTTTACAAAAAAAGAAAAGTGTAAAAATATTGTAAACTAATTATGGAACACAAAATTATATATCAATTAAATATAAATTAATATCACATGAATTGTTGTTTGGCTTAAATATTACATCTCTCATGCTTATGTACCAGAGGAATCTGTGATGGTAGAATTAGGAATTTTTTGGCAATGAGCATCTGTGGCGCACCACTGGCAATAGGGGAAAGTTATGATTATTGAGTTAAAATATATGAGTGGCTTTGACTTCAGAGACTCTTCTTTGTATTAGTGATGGGATTGGGAATGATAGCTACATGTTTGATCATAACACACATCCCATTCTTAGATTATGCTTTCTACACTTTCAAACAGAGAGTGCATTGCACGAACCAATACAAATAATCATATATCCGAACACAACTTTGCCATGCACAACACAACACGCCTACACAACCAAAGCTCTCAACTCAAGTTTGCAACCTCATCATCCCAAGAACACAAAAGTAAGAAAAAAAATTGGATTGGTAGAAAAAATATATATAAAAACTTATCTGATAAAGATAAAACTAAGAACAGATATCTGGGCTTCTTTAAATTTTATTTTCATTGTCAATAGATGTCTTGAATTTAGTTTTCTTCTCAATTAGTTTTAAAATTTTCTTTTCTATAATTGGACATTTTGAAATATGTTTTTCTAAAGACAAGAGATAAGATGATTATAGTATAAAGATAAAGATAAACAAAATAAAGTTGTAAAAGATATAAAAATTTATTATATGGATAAGTAATATAAAAAATGGTAAATGATAACAAATATTTTGAAAATATTGGATGGGGACTTTAAATATTTTTTATTAAAAAATATAATAATATACTCTCAATGTGATTTTAATAAAAACTTTAATGAAAGAGTGTTTAAAAAGATTTGTCAAGAACTTATAAAAATAGTTTATGACTTTAATAATTTATTTTATTACTTATCAAATTAAGTTTTTTTTTATTTTTTAATAAATTTTCTAATTAAATTCATAACAAATTTTTATATACTGTTTAAAAATAAATGCTCAATTAAATTATACTTAAAAGATTTATAAATTTTACATGGGTTGTGCTATTATTGTTTACATATTTGAGTGATTACCAATTGAATTTATAGTTTCGTTTATATAAAGTTGCCTCTTTGATATTCTCTGAAAGAAAATGATGACAAAAAGTTAATTCTTTTGTTCCCTTTCAAAATATCATTATCACACTTGTACCATACAGGCTGGGCTAATGCTAAAAGTCAAAGATTCATCAAGAAGAAAAGTTCTTTTAGTAAACTTATAGCAAAATGCTTCAAGCAAGAAGCTAACTCCACTTTTACTTCTAATTATCTACCTTTCTCAGTTATATAGCAAATCAGAAATGTTGGCACAGTTTAGATAAGTTTTCTGAGTGATTGTAATAAATTGGCAATTTCAAGGGTAAAAAAAAAACACAACATAACCTGTAATTAATATGTTATTGTAATATAAAAATATTTTTTCATTAAATGAGTCTTATTAATCAGTGTTGTTAAATAATTACTTAAGAAAATTGACAAATAATATTCTTTATTAAAAAAATATGAGGATTAAATACATCTTTATTCTTTTCAATAAAATGATTTTATTTTAAATTTTAATTTCTTAACTTATACTTAATTTTAAAAATTATAAAATATTATCACTTGTAAATGTTTAAATTTAACATAATTTAAGACTTATGTTACTTTGATTGTGATTTGTGAGTGATTAGTTCTTTTTTCGAAACAAATTGCAGCATGACCACTTGTGGGAATCTGACACTACCATTATCCAAGTTAATTATGGATAACTATCATAGTTAATCTATTATTAATCACAATTTAAATTTATGTTACCTTTCTCTCTGGACAAGATAGTCCTTGTTTAAAAGAGGACATACATTTTTCGGTGCACAATTTTCAACTTAGTTTTAAATTATTCTTTTTAAAGTTGGTCTTGCTAATAAAAGTATTAATTAAAGAAATAATAAATAAATAAATTCAACTTAAAATCTAGTTAAGAATATCTTACGAAATCATAATATTATGTTTTTCAATTTTTTAAAATTTTAAATTGTTAATTCTATAAAAGAATATATAATAAATAAATCTCCTTTGATGATATTTAATACAGTCTAACGTAAATTTTAATAAAAATGTTTTTGTTTTTTTAACTGATACTTTTAAAACACTGATTAACAAGATTCACTAATTAAAATTATTTGTATCTATGTTAATAAAGTCTATTTCAACACAAATAGGAGTCAAACCGTATTTATCATATTTAAAAAAAGAACTTAATTATTTATCAATTATAGGAAACTATGTTAGACACGAGAAAATCCATATTAAAATATGAGAAAAAGACAAACGGTGGGGACTGGGGAGAGTAACCCAACATGAAAGTCACTGGTTTTTTTTAAATATTACTATGTTTAAAGGATAATTTTAATTTGGATTGTTTAATCACTTTTTCCATCTTCTATTTAAAATTATTAACTCGTTATTTGTATAAATTTAAAAACTCTTATACTTAATCTTAAACTTTTATTTTATTTTTAGATAATAATTCTTCATAGAAGAGGAACAAAATCACCAGGGACACACAGATTACCATGATAACTATTGTGTTAAAAATTCTAAAAGGGAAAAAAATAAAAACAATTTAATTTGACGGTGGAAAATAGTTTTGAGACAGAAAGTGAGAGATACGATGGGCACCTTCAAGTGGGAAATGACTATAACGAACAGATGGCAGCATGCAATGACTAGCTTTGATGATGAACAGCTTCAGCAACAAATCACACCATTGTAAATTTAAGTCAAGTCATAATCTACTTTCTGAAAATGACTATGTTTCTCTTTTGGGTTTGTTCCTTAACTCTAATTGGTGACACATTTATGGTTACGAAATTTTACAAATACTAATTTCAAAGTTATCATCAATCAATGATATTGGTAATGGAATTATTCCACTTGGTTACATAAGGATGCTCCTCTTAAATTAAATACAAAATTTCACCTCAAAATCAATATTCTCACATAAAGTCACTTTCAATTTTCTCCGTGTCAAATGAGGAAGAGCTTGAAGAAGGTGCTTAAATGCAATAGGGTAAATTACTGATTAATTGCCTTATAAATTCTCCAATAAAATATAATTTGCATAGATTTCCATGTATTCCAACAAGATATAATAACTCTGCAGACATAGTACAAATTAAAATCATAATATTCATTTATAAAACTTTTTATTAATCTTTTAATCATTATCTTAAAGACATCTTTTTATCTTTCTCCTTAAAATAATTCATGATGCCATACCTTTGTCAAACCTTCAGCTATTTATTTATCCACGCAGAGTCATGTGTATACTTTCACAAATAAATATGTTCCCTAAATACAGGCACCTAGTCACAACTCTTTCATCAAAACAACTATTAATAATAAAGTAAGATGAATTTACTTTTAAATAATAATAATAATAATAATAGCAGGCATATTTTATAATATCAAAATCAATATTTACCTAATTAAAATATTTTGTATACATCCTTAACTTATGCTCAAGTTTTTTATTCTAAAATTTTCATTCTCTTTAAAGTATTTTCACAAATAATGTTAATTCTTTGAAGAAGTGGCAGCTAGCTTGTTACCAATAAGAAGACACTAATTATTATACTTTTATAAGACTCTAACTTTAGTGTTCTTTTAATATATGAAATTTATTTTCATTTGTATGTGTAAGTAAAAGTCAATTAAAGATAAATATTAAAAATTAAATTTTACTGCATTGTTAATATAAAGATTTTTACACTGTCAATTAATAAAAAGACACCATAAAAATAACTTTTATATTAAATATTGAAGAAATTAAGAATTTTTATCGATGCAACATTTTTTTATTAGATAATAATACAAAAAATATTTAATTATTAAACAGACAAATACAAATCGAAATTGTATATTATGATTCGTAGATTTAATCTATGGGAATCTTTATATTTGTTTCACTGGGAAGTTTGAGTTCCTGTATCTGGATCTACAGACAACTTTATTATATTATTTCAAGACTTTATTATAAACATTACAAATAATACTAATCTGCATTCAAAATTATAAAAACATATTAATATTTTTTGAAATTTTTTAATTTAAATATCTAATGTAGCAAGTTTTTTTTTTATTAAAAAACACATTTATAATATTTAAAATATCAAAGTATAATAAACATTTTTAATACAATTTCAATTATATTAGTGGTTTAAATTTAACTTTAAATTTTTTTTTTAAATGAGGTTATCATTTTCTTAAATATTTTGACTATTATTATTATAACGATATTTGCTTTATGAAAATTATTAATTTCTTTGAAGATTTGCTG